TCTCTCTCTCTCTCTCTCTCTCTCTCTCTCTCTCTCTCTCTCTCGCTCTCGCTCTCACTCTCGCTCTCTCGATCCCTCTCGTTCGCGCATCCCCTTCGCCCTTCGAATCAGGCTGAGATATATACAGACACTGGATGTGTGTCGGTTGCGCCGCAATCAGGGGTCCAGGAGGGTAGATGATTGCGCGGTGGAGGAACAGAGAGGGAACGGCAATTGGATAGAGAAGAGAAAGAGAGCGAGCGAGCGAGCGAGAAGGAGAGACCTAGAGAATAGAGAAAGAAAGATAGAGCAATGCACTGAGCCTGGAGCACAGAGCGACTCTCGTGCACCAACCAGAGCGCCGCCGCGAGGTGTGCGGTGCAACCATACTAATCCGCCGATGGATTTATGGTCTTAATCACCGGCGGATTATCTCGGACAGCCGCGCTCTGCTGCCACCGACCGAAACATACGCCTGCCTCTTTGCAGATAACTGTACCCGGCTTCGCGCTCGACCTCTCTGTCTCGCTGTTTCTCTCTCTCTCTCGCACTCTCTCTCTCTCTCTCTCTCTCTCTCTCTCTCTCTCTCTCTCTCTCTCTCTCTCTTTCTCTCTCTCTTTCTCTCCATTCTGCCTCTCGTCGACTCTTCGGTGCCTTTCTCTTCGTTCTTCTCTTCAATATGACGTTTTCGCGGATCTTTTATCCAGTACCGGGGATTTCTATACATATGACATAACATTACGCTGAGAAAACGAGTTCCAAAGATAGGGTGCGATAGTTATATTACGCAAGAAATTAAATTTGTACTACTCGAATACCAAACTCTTCAAGATATCTTCTATTCGCGTAAATATTATAATTCGCTAGGACTTATAGTAGCCTCTAACTTTACTGGACAGAAGCTCATTTATAATGAAACTTGAATACGCGCGCGGGCTTCTTTTCTCTGTGAAGTACAGTTCTATTACTTTCCATTACGACAAACAGTACGAATTAAACTCAGAGCTAATGAGGAGGGTCGCGGTGGAAGGATGTCTTTTGCACTTGAAGTAAGCGCGCGCCAAGGCAGGTTTAAAATGAAGTATGCCTCCATAATGGCGTTACAGTTTGCGAACGAGCGACGGCCAGGGATCTGCAGCGTTTTGGTACATGGCGTATAGCACCGTGGCGGGAACACCGTACCACGCTATGTGTGGTTCTATAAATCCACCGGGGCTTACTGGCGCAAAGCCTCCCCTGCGGCCTGCGCGCGGCACTCTCACCTCTTTCCCCATGTGACCTCCTATCTGCCCACTCTCTTCTATACCTCTGTGTGTCCTCCCCCTTCTCTACCATGCCTTGTTCACACACACGCACACAGTTCTTTCACACTTTTGCCGTCTCGCGATGCCGACCGCTCGCCGGAACGTCTCGATGAAACGCAAGCAGGCCGCCGGGATTTCAAAGAGCATGTCTGGCCACTTGCTTGATCCGTTTCGAAGTCATTCGGACTTGGACCACGAGCGATCCGTCGTTTGTCCGCGAATCAAGTCGCGGAGACGCCATGGCAAGAGGATTTATACAGCGCTTACGGATTTGCGAACTTTCTAACGGTCTAGTTTCTTCGGCGTCACTTTGCGTTGCAACGAAAAGCACTTTTCTTTTACAATTTCAGATCATATATTATCGCTTGTTGTGTTTGGAGTCGTTATGATAATACGTGATCAGTTGGAATCAGTAAAAACGCGATTGTATTATATATGAAATTCTAACTACAAATTTTTAAGAGTTTAGAATTTCTAGCTCAGTTATACATAGATCTGTTGTGTGTGTAGGTATGATTTTTCTTTAGTCATTTTTAGCTGCAGTATAATTTCAGGTCTATTATTTGTCTCTAATTTGATTATATTTTACAATTAACGTGGATTTATATACAATAAGTGTATAGAAACTGTTTATATAAAATTTTCTTATATGAAAGCTTAAATTAACGTTTAATAATCTAAAACATCTCATCATTTCCGTCGTTTCTGTATATCTTGTAGAAACCGTTCGTATACTTCACTAATGCATAAGATATCATTCGTGGTCAGCAGATTGTTGCTTTTGTAATCGATACTTTGACGCTTCAATGCATTCATTGTGAGCGTCTGTTACTGCTTCATTTATAACGAGCTCAAATTTTTTAACGTCGCTTCAATGTTGCTGTTATTTATATTTTTCGCTTTTCCGACATAATGTTAAGAAAACAATTTTCGAGTCGTTAATATTTCACAATGTAGATACTTAAGAGTCCAATCGATTACACACTTTGTATAGAACGAAATCAAATTTGAATTGTCTCTATTAACTTTTGTTAGTTTATAAATTATACAATCATTTTTATTACTTATTAACTTAATATATTAAACCGAGTTATTAAGTACATCTAAAAATTTTGAGAAGTTCGTTTAGTCATAACACGAATCGTCTTTTTTTCTGTAAAAACATAAGATATTTATGCTTCTAACGCGCGCGATGAAATTTAACTCTTCAATGTGAATCGTGATGTCGTAAATTCTCTTACCCTGACACGAGCTTCCGTAAGATTCGTACAGCAAGCTATCTCTTCTCTGGTTGACATATCTGGATACCGGTTTCTCAGAAACGTCATCTCTAGATTCTGAAGCTGATGCTGCGTAAAATGCGTCCTTTGTCGCCTTTGCCTTTTGTTCTTTTTGCCATCCTTATCGTCGGTATCGTTGACTCCAACTACTCCCCCAGGTGAAACAACGCCACCAGCGGTACCCAATTCGTGTTTCACTTCTGGTGGTGTTCGTACACCTGAAAAGTGTTAAGGTATCATATCTTCGACAAGACCATCAATAGTGTGTCTCGAATGTAGGATTCATTAGTTCGTTTGATAAAAGCGTGTCCAACGAAACTTATACCTGGAAACTGTTAGATAGGGAATTCCAATGGGAGCAAGTAGAAGGAGCCTTCTCCTAAGATGCTTTATAAAGAAAGCTTCAGTTATATCGTTCAATCTTATTATTAGTGACAGAAGGACGTACTTCGCTACGTGTATAGGCATCGCGGTTCGATTCGAAGTCGTGGATCTCTAAACACATCCGAGTAAAGAATCAAAAATGTTCCGCAAAACGGCTATTAAATATATGAGAAAATTTAAGGGATATGTACATGAATAAGTAGATGAAACTATCTTTAGAGAAAGAAAAAAACGTTGATAACTAGTATTAATTGATTAATATAAATGGAACGTAACTCTACGCAGAAAATCAGATAATAAAATAGACTAATAACACCCACAGAGCGAACGCTCACTCAACTGTTGAATCTGCCGAACGTTGCCAATGACGTTCATATACTGGATTGGTCGTCACAGTTACCGAACGCAAATCTTGTTAGAAACGGTTGGGCATTGAAGCTTAAACTTTGTGAAAAGAAGATTTAAATCAAGCATCTAGTTCGACAAATTTGATTGACTTGGAGATTGACTTTATCTTAAGAATATGTATCGTAAAATTAATAAGATTGCATCGGAGATATCAGACAATTATTGATAATTGAGGTTACTGGATAAATTATTAATAATAAAACATCACGGTTTTTGTCAAGTATTGTAGTATGTGCTTCTTTCAATTCATTACAATAGTTTTTGGATTATGCGGGACATACTCTTATCAAACAAAATTAAATATTTCATAACTTTGGCAGAAATAATATCAAAATATTATAATATCAAAGAAAAAATTAGCAATATAATCTTGGTTTTTAGATAATTAAATGATATATTAATATCTAGAAATGATACAAAATCCTAATGATAAATACTATATAAATTTTAATAGTATAATCTGGAGATTAATTACAGTAAAAAATATTAATAAAGATACATTAAAATTAAAATATAATTTTTAAATTATAAATCATTATTTTTCGCAACTATACTCATGTATGTTTGCATATGTACGTATCGATCTGTTATCTACATTATTGATTTTCACGGCTCAGGTGATATTGATTTTTTTACTACTCAGCTGATTTTGTCTTTCAATTTCTTATATCGGTATTATATATGTACATATAATAAGCAAATATTGACATATTGATTTTTAATATTTTCATTTTTATAAACAATTTAATTCTTTTTTAAATAAATAAGATTATGTAATCAATTACAACTAACAAAAGTTATTAACTTTAATGTAAAATTACAATTTGGAAAAGAAAGTTTTTTAATCTGTATTTCGATATAAAATAGAAATTAATTATTTTTTATAGCATTTTTTTATTTCTTGCAAAGTAAAATTGTGATTTTAATGAATTGCGCAAGACAAATTATTACATTTTTTGTGATATCTTCAGTTTATTAAAATTGTAATTCTTGATTTAATTAAACCCCGTGATTAAACACTCATTAATATAAAGCAATTATTATTTATCAAAATGCGTATCTTACGAGTAGATAATTTATATTTTCAAAACAAATATCGAAATATAAAAGATAAAAATCAGAAATAATTTTATTGCAATAATTATTTATTTAATAATATGTAGATTTGAATATATTTTCTCCAGTATATCATGCTCTGAATTTTTCATTTTAATTCAAATATACTTTGTCTATTTTTGCACTGAAAATAATGGAATAATACACGAATAGCCGGATTGTACGAATGATTCTAATGACGAAAATAATAAGCACATACATATCGATCATTTATTAATATTTAACTTGAAATACGAGAAATTTAAAATATTCATCGTACATTTATTTCGTAATGCGTATTATATTTCATAACGATTTATTAGGGCGCTCGACTGCATGTGTGTTGGAGTATACAATTTAACGTTGTGTATATATGTATACACGCGGCTTCAGAAATTCCACCCGGGTGCTCCGATGATCATTTTATTCTTGTTTAACATACGGTGAATAACAAAGATAAAGTGATACATAGGTGCATCCGGTGAAGTTTCTGAATGCAGCCAAGGTCATTGCGTTGCCATTCGTACTTTAAATTCCGAGAGCCGAGCTTCCGTTCCATTTGTATCATAACTTATAGAAACGCTAGAAATATCAATTAAAGATGCTAAACGTTATCATTACGTAATAATTTTAATAACGCTTAAAGTTGAATATCTCGCGATGTACATACTAGATACATATGCTTATGTGATATGGAATTTCAATTATATATATTTTCGATTCGTTGCATCTTAATAAATCATTAACCTAATTATATAAATTGAATCGTGCAGAATAAAGTTGCTAACGTCATATTCGAATTTTCTTATCATTAAGGAATTATCGTTAGAATATTACAGATGCCAAACGGATTAACTCCGAATGGACTGGTGTCGCGATACGTATTAGTGGATCATAATTAATCTCACATATTTTGATAATTTGAACACACAAAATGTCTTATTCCTTGGTTTAATAATTTAAACAAAACGTCTTAAAATCGTAAACGTAAATATACAACTGACAATGAGTAACGAAAGTCTTATCGGTCTAAGTTGGATCTTAGTGTTTAAATAATTTTTTCGATATGATTTTGTATACATATTTAATTTTGCAAATTGCCGGTTATAAATAATTTAACCAACTGTATAGCAGTCATCGTTTGTGCATCGCTCATTCGTTAAAATCCTCCGTCGTTCGTTGTGCTTATTTACAAGACAGCGTTAGTGTTGAACGGATTGTAGCTTCATGTCATAATATTTTTTTTCGTATATCCTTCCGTCGGAAACAAAGCGGCGCGTAATGCGCATTACGTGATTAATGTCAGGAATGCCGTGCAAAGTGTCGCGCGATCGTAATTAACTTGCAAGTGAGTGTTGTGTGTCACGATGCAGTTACAACTCTGTTGTTGCATATTATACGTAAGTGAGTGCTAAATTATATTACTGCATTTTAATTTGAGGTAATGGATTTATATGAATATATTGTATCAGATGTGCAAAGAGAGATGCAAATATATAAAGTAATGTATACGTGTGTATCAAGTCTAAAAAAATATGATAGTTGCATATAAATTTTATAGAATCACTGTTTTGAAATAAGCGAATTAAAACAAATAAATGTTGGTTTATTCTCTGGAAGTAGCGCGAATTCTACGCGATGCCACAGTTGATTAAAATTATTATGAAATGTTGATATTTTTGCATCAGAATTTTTCAAATCTAATTAATCTCTAAAAATGTAAAAATTATGAGATATTACAAAATTTTAAAGAAAGTTATATTAATTACTTCCAGTTATTTTTTTTATTATTTTATGTATTAAATTAATAAAATTTGAAACGTTCTTTCATATATATTATATATAGATAAATTTTTGTAAAATATTTATTGGTCTAATTTAATAAGTTTTCGTTACATTTCGGACAGTCATGTGCTTTTAGAAATGCCACTTTATATACATTTGATTTATTAAATGAGATAAAATTCGCCCATGTTTACATTTGCAAAATATTTATTGACCTAACTTAATAAAGTTTTCATTAGACTTCGGGCAGTTATGTGTCTTTAGAAATATCGTTTTATTGTATAATACATATCTTTCATTTATTGAACGAAGTAAAATTCGTTCATGTTTACGCGACTCTCGCATTTTGTCAAAAAAGTATGATGGACTCTAGCGAGAAGCACACGCGGAGACTGACGCTTCTACCGTATTAGAACGGACGAAGTGAGATCCGCGAGGAGGTTTGTTGTTAACCGGGAACATAAGACTCCGGGAGATATTTCAATTTGCGGGGATTTGGAGCGCAGGTGAGAGTGTTCCAGCTAAGTGCCGAACAAACGTGCAAACAAACGTAAGCGACCTTTTCCGCTCTTTCCCCCCATTTGCCGCCATCCACCATTCCGTGCATTCGTTTCAGAACTCCGTGTAAACGCGATAGGGAATGGTGTTCGGATGGCCTCTTCTCTTTCTCTGAACTAAATTTTGATTCGTGCAAATACGTCTTTCCCTACTGAATTTAATGTCGAACTTTGAAATACGTGTGCTTGTGGATATATGAGATATCGCATATTTTATATTGTTTGCAAAAAAGCACGTTAAAGCGCAACATTATTGGTAAAATGATAAGATAGTAACATCCGTTAATGTGTTAACCGATACAAAGTATCAAATGTTTTAATGCTTTAATACAATAGAATTAAATAATTATGATTTTTCACCCCATGGAATTTTGACACATGAATTGAAGAAAAATTACAAAAAATCTTATAATTATTTTTGAACAATCGGAACGTACCTTTTCGAATATCTGGTCTGTGAGTTGCGTTTGTACGGTTCCTCGGCTGTCCGGTGGAATATCCACCGGAGGGTGTCGTGGGAGTCGCTCCCGGTGTACTAGGATTGCTACCACCGGGGGTGTGAGCGCCATGACCTGCGTCGAGCCTCGCAAGGCCCCCATTGGTTTCATCCCCGAAGTCACTCTGCGCCCAGACTGCAAAACACATCACACCCTCTTGCAACGTCGTCTAGGCGCACAGTAATCCTTATTTATTCTCGGCTGCAGCCGCGCACATTAATTGGAGGGTTCCTTTCCGCGTTTCATTCTTGCATGATATCGCGACATAATGAATGATACACTGCTATTTCAGATTTAATCAAGACAAATAGTTAAGTAATGATTAAACAATTGCATTAATTTGTACTGTTATTAATCACCATTATAATCTAATATGCAGTTCATGATCTAAAAGAATCCAGTAAAAAATTAATTGCCTTTCATTCCAAATGGATGGAAAATTATTTTTGCTTTCAAAATTATTTTTACTTTCTCTCTCGACTTTCCCATTTTGAAACATAGATATTTTAGAAATTTTAGATTGTAATTCCTTATAATAGCAATAACATACGTTGCATGAATGAGTCAATTAATAATCGTGTTACCTCGCCCACCCAAATAAAAGTTATGTTTCGCTGCGGCAAACCGCTCCTCAATCAACGACTATTTATCTACCGACGAAGTAGACGCGATAAAAAAAGATAAAAACGGATTCTCCGCTGCTCCTTTTCACACTTCGTCGTCGATGTGTACTCTTTATGCATCTGTGTATTCGTGTGTGTACATGCAAAGCCACGCGGGGCGGGCTGAGAAGTTAATCGGCTCGGTCGTTTAGTTTCGCTCCGTTTAGTTATATTTGGTTTCCAAAATATAACCACAGGAGCTAAGAGGAGGGACGTGGTTCACAATTAGTCGGCGCATAACTCGGGCTGATTTAGTGCCGCGAAGCCTACTACGTATCACGAAGACGCATGTGTCACTTTACTTCGATATCGCCAAGTGTGCGCGGTGCACACGTGTTCGTACGAAATAAAAGAAACTCCTTGTGCGATATTTTCAATGGCGGAGATCTCGAGCATGCGTAAGTTGAAATTAATCACCTTTGCCGTTACGAAAAGGTGAGCTATACTCTGATATAGCTGCAAACGATATATAGGTATATATTTTTTTTATATATGAAAAATATTCGTTTAAATTAAAATAGTTTTTAATTCAGAAAACTTTAATGTTCTCTCTTATCCATCAAAGATTTTGAATATGATTCTATATTTTGTGATTAAATTAGGCCCTACGTGCGTCTTTTAAATATTATGCAAGTTTCGATTAATTTTATTACGAAGTTCGTAACTGATCTTCTTCCACATCTTGAAATAATTAAATAAATTTGAAATAAAGAAAAATTATTGTTTCTATAATTGATAATAAAAACCAACCATCGAGATAAAAGGATATATACGAGAAATAAAAATGAGAGAAGTTTAGTCGAGTTTTCACTCGCACTATTTCAAGCAAAGTCATATTTTGGACAACTCGGTTAGTTTAGTTTATCACGACGCGGTGTGCACGCGCACGAATACATTCTGAAATTTTTCTGGCAACGGAAGATATACTTGTCAGCGCGTATGATATTTTAGCGGACCTGCGCTCTGTAGTATTAATTTGCATGTTGTGAGTGACGAACACGCGGCGTATGTAATTGAGGAAATCGTCGGAACTGTTGACGAACGTGCGCCAAACAGTTGTTGTGTCAAATGCTTTCTCCAATGATACCTTCTTGTTAACGCGTTGACTGCCAAGCTGATTTCGGTACGAGCAGCCTAAATTCGAAAAACAACTTTTTGCTCAACTGTTTATGTAAAATTAAATTAAAAAATAAGTCGCACGAAAAATAAACAAAAATTGAAAGTATATTATTTATGTTACTGAATATTTCATAAAATGCAACTTTAGATGGAATAAATATCATGATTGATAGAAATAGGTACAACAGGAAAATAGAAAAATAATTATTTGTATTATTAATAAATCTATCTATATACATCTATTAGTGCAATAATATTTTTATTTTTTTTAAATATTTTTACAAATACTTAGTGAAATCATTCCTAATTGTATAAATAAAACGATCATTTAATAAACGGGAAACGAGGCCCTTGTAAAAATTTACATATCCAGATATCGCAGTCAAAATGTTAATACAATTCATTAGAAGAAAGCTTTATTATATAATAATAATTAGATGATAAATAACTACTTCTGTTCTGAATTCAAGCATTTATATTGACATAACTTTTTATATATTAAAAATCGAGTGCAAATATCGTGTTTTCAAAGACCGGCAGATTCCTCTCGGGGGCACTATGTATTTATAGCTCAACTATAAATTCGTAGAAAGATATCTAGAATGGGGGAACGTGGTGAAAATCGCTATGCCACCGCGGAAAATTGATATTGACGAATATCGCGACTTTGTGTCGTATAAATCAATCTCGCCTGGACACTGTCGCGCGATCATGCGTGCCGATATCCGTCACAGTTGCGTTGTGTATGTTTATATAGAATCATTACTATTATTTATCGTTTTGGTAGCGGACATTGAAACCGTCGTAATTTAGGTAGATTCGGATCTTGATGTATATTAGAGTAGAAGTGCAGAAATGATCTGTGTATTCAATTATGTAACGATTAAAGTAAGGTACAAAGTATATTTATAGAATGCCTAATGATACAACTTGTTATAATACAAGCTGCAACATTCTTTCTACATATAATTTTTTCTTTTTTTTTTTGTATTTCACTCATAAACGATTTAAAGATCAAGCTTAATGTGTTTAAAAATCAAATGTAATTGAAAATTATGCCAATTTCGCTCTCGTCTTTACCAAACATGTTTCCTTGCGAGCACCGTATAAATACGCGAACGTGACTTGCGAGGTTGTTACTGAGTGTCCGTCGGAATTCATGATTAATTCACCGACCGACGAAATGCGAGAGCGGATGAGCCGTGTCGACAACAGGATTATATAAGTCGCAAAACGCGGTACGATTTCGAACGAGGCAAAGTGTAGCTGTACTATGTTGTGCTGTGCCTCGCGGAAATGCTAACGTCTCTTGAATTTATTTCCAAAGTTCTGCACAGCTCAACAAAATTGAATTTATCCGGCAACCGATCGAGGAATGCTTAGGTCTCAGTCCTTAATCTTGAAACCGCAGACAGAAAGGTTACTTATTGTTAGATAGTCACATGTGATCCACAAAATATGTACTTAAAAGCATTTTTCTATAAATCTTCTCGAAATGATTTCGTATGTATTCAAAATAATTCAAAATAAATTATCCATAAAAGACTAAAAGCAAAAGAAGTAATCATATTGAAGAATTTTACAACAGTTGCAAAGCTACTCTTTTTCTGTTAAACGCAGCTATTGTGTCAAAATGCTGCCGCAGATGCTTTCTCTTGATAAATAATGATTCCGAAACAATTTGAAGATTGGTTAATGTACTTAAGTATTAATTTGCGTAAAATAAAACTGCTAACGTTGGCGACATAAATTATGTAAATTAAAATGTTTGTTTATATCATGTTTTATCTTTTGCTTTTTTGGATCTTCGAAGTTAAATAAAACATACGAGAATCCTTCCGAGGGTTTTGAAGATCTTCATTTGTTTACTACGAAAGTATTTAACTGTTAACCAACGGATACGTTCGCCTTCCTCGTTTCGATAAAGATAATGTATACCGACAGAATCTCTTACACACCGCTGCTTGTATATTATTTCAAGATTAGAGTTAATCACATAATCTACATCGTGATCTGACTAACACTACTCGAGCGACCAACTCACCAAGTAAAATTTATAGACTGTCATTTCTCACGCTTCAATATATCGCCAACAAATGCATATACATAAGGATTTATATCCCTAATAACTATCGAATTCCTATCATACTCATCTTTTTGAAATTATACCTTTTTATCATAATAATTAATTACGCGAATACTCCTATATTAAAGTATACGATATTTGATCTGTATAAATCATATTGAATTTGAGTAGAGAAAACTTTTGTGATACCTAGAAACATGTAACTAATAGGACATATCTGCTATTTATTTTTTTAACAATAATGAAATATTGATATTGGCTATTTAGTTGTATTATTTTTCAATTGATATAAATGTAATGACCAGTCAACAATAAAAATCTCGATATTGTTAAAAAAAGTAATAGTATTTCTTAAGATACAACACACCTCTATTAGGTATCTATTCTCTCTTATTCGATAATTTTACGATAATTTCAACGTATAGCTGAATTTAATAAATTGTTTAACAGTTTTAAAGTTCTGTAGTTGTAACAGAATCGAATTCAGTTGATTTACTGAATAATTGAACATAAAATCGAAGACAGAACTTGAATTCGAGTGCGAGTAGAAATTACAATGTAGTTTTGTGCGAGTAATAATAACAAATAAACAGCGTGCGGGACATGGCGCAATGATTTTCCAGGATGTCGTTCGTGGATACACTTTCCTCGTGTCTAGCGCGCACGTTCCCACGAGATCCCCTGCGGAGTTCTCGGAGGCTTAAGATGTCGTATCGTTTGACGGCTGTGTGCTTGTCCGCCGGCGGCCACCATGGATTCGTGGCGGAGTTACCGCGGATACGAGAGAGGATCCCGAGAGGGCGGAATGTGGCCCCGACACTCTTCACCCCGCCCTGTCAAACACGTTCGACACCCCGATCCCGTTCGCGCGCTCGAGCATTTCGTTTCTCGAAAAGAGAGAGAGAAAGAGATCATATATTGATCCCTCGACCTGAAAACGTCGAAACAATATGGACCTTTCTTCCCGTCGATACGGACGAAAGATGTTTCATACATACGTCGAACATCTGCCAAAAACACTGCGCGAGGCACAATACAAATATTAATAAAATTTCACTAAATTGTTGAGTATAAATGAATAGAAGCGTAAACTCTTGTAATAAAGAGAAGAGTAAATTTTTATATATTAAAAAAAAAACCGAAATACTCAACCTTGTCATTTCCGGGAAATGAGAGAAAAACAAAGAGGCGCGCGGCGCCTCGGTGAATTCTTTGACACCAAGTGTCGCGTTGCTACGGTTTGCACATGTTTTCACACATAAGAGAAG